GAAAGCACAGATTTAGGCAAGCAGTTCAATAAGCAGGTGGTATGAAAGTTTCGGTTTCAGGAGGTCCATACAGAATGAAAGGTTCAGCTCTACAGGACCTCCACCTTGTACTACGCCATTCATAAAAATTATAAATGGAAACCAAACTGCCATCAAATGATGTTTATAGGTCACAACTGTATTTCCCTGGGTTATTGGGTGAACTCTTTTCTAAAATGTACCCTTTTTGCTTTAAGAACAAGAGCAGCTCTACTGGAGCAGACCAAAGGTCTGCCTAGCCCACCATTCTCTTTCTCACAGTGCCTCCAAAGCCCATATGCAGGGCATGAAGGAAAGACCCCACTTCCAGCAAATGGTATTCAGAGAGGTAGACTGCCTCTGTATCTGGAGGTTCCTTAGAGCCACTGGCAGACCTTCCCACTTCCACAAATTTGCCTAATCCATTTTTAAAGACATCTAAGTTATTTGCCATCACTATTTTGTTTTTAAAATATTATACCCCACCCTTGTGTGGCAGTAAGTTCTGCAGATGGGTGGTGCATTGTGTGATGTACTGTGTGCCCTTAACCACAGAGTGGGATCAGATGCCTTGGCGGTTTTGCATTTGCCACATATTTAGGAAAGCTATTGGCCTGAAATGCAAATTAAATAATTTCGTTCAATCCTTTAAATATTCATCCTCCCTACTTTATCCTCACCCCTTCTTTCTTTACAAACTTGCTTGGGCTTCACCTTCAATGCAGCTCAAGGTTGCTGGTGGCTGGGGGTGGGAATGCAGACTTAAGGAACTAAGATGAGTGGGAACTTGGTAGGATGAAAACTCTTCCCTCCCCGCTTTGATTTTCACATTGCGACCTGTTGCAAGCAGGAAACTTGGACCTCTGAGACACAAGCAGAGCCTGGTAGGGAGCAGCAAAAAAGCCTTGGCTCTTGTTTTCTGCTTGCCCCCCCTCCCCCATTGTGACCACCACCCTGGGCAACACTCCCTCCCATGTAAGTACTTGGAATTCCTGCAGCAGCTGTTCAGAAACATCCCGGCTAGCAGACCTGGGCTTGCAAGGAGGGAGAGGCGGTCATGGTTAATCAGCCCTCCAGGCGACAGAACAGCTAACCAAAAATGCATTCAGATGCCTCCAGCGATCTTCTGCCCTGTCTCCCCCACAACTCTTTCTAGGCCCTTGGCTCCTTGCCACCTTCTCACGTCTTTTCTCCCTTCTGCCCCTGAACCAACTTTCCATGGTTCTGCCAGGAAAGTTCAACCCCAAAGTCTGCTCTCTCCCAATCTACCCTTTTTTTGCATAGGATTTGACCATACGGGAGGCTGACTGTGACTGTTAGTAAGGTCTATTTCAATTATGTCTGTTCAATGTCTTTAAACCCCGGAGGGTGAGGAATCTCAGGACTCTCCCCAGGACACAGCGCTGCTTCTGACCCTCCTGGGGGGTTTCTGCCTGGCTGCAATGGGTCCTTGAACTCTGATCATGTTTGCTTACCTGGATGGAGGTTGGAGGGGGGGGATGTGCAGAAACAATACCCATCCATTGCTTCCCCCACTTGCCTCTCTACCCATATGTGGCCCTCAGAAGAATGCCCAAAAGGGATTTGAGGTCCTCAGTCTGAAAAAGATTTCCCTCCCTAGATGTATAGGCTTTGGCCATCATAACAGAGGTACATCTTCTCTACTGTCACTCCATGTAATTATTGAATAAGGTTGCTCAGGCCCCTAGCTTTGTTTCCTACACCACTGTTTTTATTGTTGTTGTTTCTGATTTTCTGTATTGCTTTTTGGGGGAGGGCAGGCTTGATGTTGTTGTTGTAAATCAGAAATGAGGAACCTGGTGCTCTCCAGATGTTCCCGGACTACAACTCCCATCATCCCTGACCATTGGTCCATGCTGACTGGGGCTGATGGGAGTCGGAGTCCAGCAACATCTGGAGGGCCACAAATTCCCCTTTCCTGATTTAAATGGCTGTAAGCCCTCGTGAGTGATATCAATACAGTGGAAAGGCGGGGCATAATTATTGCTGTTTTTTTCATATAAAGTATATTTAATTATGCTTTTCTCCATATCGTCTGAAATATCTCTGGCAAATTCAGGATGCTTCTTCTAATTGCTGATAACATTATGCAGCAAATTTAAACTAATAAAGAAGTGCACACTAGCTGAAAGAGCAAAGCAGAGAAATAATTTCCTATGGACTACAATTATGACTTTAAAAAAAAAAATTGCTCCTTCTCTGGTTAAGTTCATTCACATTCAGAGTGGTGGTAAAGTGCCTTCAGGAGAGGTATATTAGCCTTAAATTTGGTAGAATGCATATCCTACATACTTTTATTTTTTATTGTTATCAATAATAATTCTTCTCCTTTCTCTTATATGATCAAATACCTTTTTAAAAAAGAAGAATACATAGCCTTCCAAATATGGTATATAAATCAATAAAATATAAGTAAATTACCCTATTTTTTGCTCTATAAGACTCACTTTTTCCCTTCTAAAAAGTAAGGGGAAATGTGTGTGCGTCTTATGGAGCGAATGCAGGCTGCACAGCTATCCAAGAAGCCAGAACAGCAAGAGGGATTGCTGCTTTCACTGCGCAGCGATCCCTCTTGCTGTTCTGGCTTCTGAGATTCATAATGTGTGTTTTTTCTTGTTTTCCTCCTCCAAAAACTAGGTGCGTCTTGTGGTCTGGTGCATCTTATAGAGCAAAAAATACGGTGCATAGGACAAACTAACAGGGGGAAACAGCTCCGTCTGAGTTTTTTCCAGCCAGTGGCCAACCTCCTGACCACCCTATCCTGACCATTTGGCAGTGCTTGTCAGGCCTTGTTATTCCACCCAAGTAATCCAGAGAAAGAGCTCCTCTGAAACCAAATTTGGGAGCTAAACTTGGGCTTGGGAGCACCTGAGTGGGAAACCGCCTAGGAACTCTGAATGCTTCTCCGGGTTCCTTGGAGGAAAGGTGGGCTACAAATAACTTCTGCATTAGGGCACTTCTCAGTGCTTAAAAGACCCAGAGTGTAGGCCCCTGGTACAGAATCCGTATAAAAGGAATGGTGCAGATCCAGGTCTCGGAGTGATGTTGCAAGGGTGAGTTCTCACTGCAAAGGATGCCTCCGGGCTCTTGCTGTTTCAGAGGGTTGATTTGATCACATGCCGGGAATTTGCATAATTAAAGTGGAGTCAGGTGCTCTGTCAGCTTAGCACAACAAATCCACTTAAAAACAAAACCAGACTTTTATGGTTTGGAAAGCGATGGGGAAATGCATTGAAATGCGTGAGATGAATGGGTGACTAGCAGGAAGCTCTGTAAACACACTGCAAGCAAATCAGGATGAATGCTCATTGTTGTGTAACTTCCCTGCAAACATATCAGAACGAATGCTGGATAAAGGCTGGACAGAGCCTAACCTCTGTGTAGGTTTTGTCCGAGCAAATCAGATCAGGTACTTCATAAATGGGGCATCTGGAGGGGCCCAAAGCTATTACAGTGGTACCTCGGGTTACATACTGTCAGGGGCTCAGGAGCAGAGGCACAGGGGAGAGAGGAAATGGAGAGCGAAGGGGAAGAATCTGAGGGCAGCGGAGGGGAGAATGACAGTGACCCGAGAGATTCCATGAGCCTCTCCAGCGAATCAGAAGATTCCCAGAAGGGGGCGCCGATGGTCAGGGCAAGGGGGGTCCCAGGGGGGACTCACCAGAAGCAAGGGGCCAGCGGGGACTCCCAAAGCAGCAGCGGGAGATCAGGACCAGCTTCCCCACCAGAGCGTAGCGGGGGGGAAGAGTCCCATGTGTCAGGGCCAGCGTCGTCCTCCAGCAGGGAGAGAAGATGAGTCAGGGCTGACCACGCCTCTATCGGAGAGCGAGGGAACGGAGGGGAGGTCAGATCCAGCTAGCCTCCCCGAAGGGGGAAGCAGTGACAGGAGCAGTGTAACGGTCAGGAGGAAGGTGACCGGCTGGGCACGCGCGCCAAGTTCGAATGTACAGGCACGCGGGACAGCAGAAAACCCGGATTGGGAACCAGGTCCTAAAGCCCGCCGGAGGCAGGGGGAAGACTCAGGGGACTCAGCGTCAGAAGAGTCTAGGAAGGGGAAGACCCCAGCGGACAGGCGGACCCAGAGGAGGAAAGAGCAAAGGAAGAGGTGGAGCAAGGCTAGAGTCTTAAACTGGTGTCTGGGGGGAGGAGACTCAGACGGAGCTTCGGCGGTCTAGAGTTTGAGACGTAGAGCTGCGCGCCGCGGCTGTGAAAGCGAAACTGAGCTTCAATAAAGACTGTTTTTTATAACAACGAACTGGCGTTGGTCCTTTGTGAGCTGGGACCTAGGGCAGCTCTGACACATACGCTTCAGGTTATATACGCTTCAGGTTACAGACTCCGCTAACCCAGAAATAGTACCTCGGGTTAAGAACTTTGCTTCAGGATGAGAACAGAAATCGCACAGCAGCAGCAGGCCCCATTAGCTAAAGTGGTGCTGCAGGTCAAGAACAGTTTCAGGTTAAGAACGGACCTCCAGAACGAATTAAGTACTTAACCCGAGGTACCACTGTACTTTTCTAAAGAAGGAGAGGAAGGGATGGAATTTCTAGGGGCCCAGCTCCTGGGAGGCCTCAGCTCTCCATGGTTCCTTATAGTTATTCTTTGTCTCTTGCCATCCAACCAGTCCACAATTTGGCCCACTGTGGAGGAAAGGGCCAAAGAGAGGACACATCCTCTTTTCAGGCCATTCTTGATCCTCGCTGTGACTTGGCTTTAGTATCTGGGATTTAATATTTCTTTCAAAAAGCTAATTCTACAAACTTCTAGTGAGGGGTGGGTGGGATAGCAAGTGTCAATTCTACACACACTCTACACACACTCCTTTCTCAGGGTGTGTGTGGGCAGGGGAGATATGCAGGCCATGCTGCTCCCAGGCCATCTCTCTTCCCCCCCCCCTCTCCCCGCCACCATCCGGCGTTCCTCTCCCAGGCCCCAGCACATGTGCTGTCTGTCAGAGCCTGGTCTCGGTTATTTTAGCTCTGCTCATAGCAGAGGCGCTCCGTCTGTGTGAGAGAGAGAAGGAAGGGGACGGAGGCTGTCCGGCTCTGCGCTCTGCCTGAGGCACAACCACTAGCAAACCATTATGGCCACCCCTTTCTGGCTCATCTCCTTCCTGCTGGCCATGTTGGGGGCTCAGGTAAGCACTGGACAGGGCAGGTGTGTCAGCCTGGAGCAGAGAGCAATGGGGCGGTGGAGGTCCTTCTCTGCATGCACTCCAGGGCATCAGGGACCTCAGTTAGGTGGAGGGTCCTGCGTGCAATTGAGTCCCATCCCAAAGTCATTTCCACCTGGAGAACCAATCAGGGGGTTTCTCTCGCCACCAGGGTCCATTTGATTGACTGATTTGCAGCCAGGAGGAATTTTGCCAGCCTCTCTGTCTTAGACAAGGCTTATGCTGTGGACAGTAGACAGAGCATGTGGTGGAATATACATATCCAAGCTTCCAGCTAGCTGCTGAGCTACATTCAAGGTGTTGGTTTGGGTGTATATACAGGATATCTGAAGCATCGTCTCCCCCTTATCTAGCCAATCAGTCACTGAGCTCTGAAGGTGAGGGCCTCCTGCAGATATTATTATTTATTGAATTTATATACCACGCTATATAACCGTCTCAGGGCGGTTCAGAGAATAATATCAAGATAAAAAAGGTAAAGGTACCCCTGCCCGTACGGGCCAGTCTTGCCAGACTCTGGGGTTGTGCGCCCATCTCACTCAAGAGGCCAGGGGCCAGCGCTGTCCGGAGACACTTCCGGGTCACGTGGCCAGCGTGACATCGCTGCTCTGGCGAGCCAGAGCCGCACACGGAAACGCCGTTTACCTTCCCGCTAGTAAGCGGTCCCTATTTATCTACTTGCACCCGGGAGTGCTTTCGAACTGCTAGGTTGGCAGGCGCTGGGACTGAACAACGGGAGCGCACCCCACCCGCGGGGATTCGAACCGCCGACCTTTCGATCGGCAAGCCCTAGGCGCTGAGGCTTTTACCCACAGCGCCACCCGCGTCCCAATATCAAGATATAAAACCACAAAATGCATAATAAAACAAAAACAACAACACAATAGCCACCCCCCCCCCAAAAAAACACATCTTACCCAGCAGTCTGCTCCTCATAATGTAGGAATTCGGTCTTTTGTATGTGTTGTATGGGATCCTGGGTGACAGATTGCCTTTTCTACCTGTAATCTCTACTGCCTTGGGAATTTAAGAGATTAATCTGTGCTTTTTCTGTATACACCTGTGCGATTGTATTTTGTTCCGTGCTTGGAATGAGCTGGTTTGGCTTAACAAAGTTCACTGAATTAGTTCAGAAATGTCTGGAGCACAATTCAAAGTGGCTCCCATAATTGCCAAGTGAACCGAGCCGGTATTGTTCATTATGGGGGTAGACATTGAGACAATTTCTCTAGTTCAACTCTGTGTGGTTTTTCCCCTTCCTCTTTGGGTCTTTAAGCTTCAAGATGATCATTGTTTGGAAAAGTAAATTAAGCGATTCACATGCCGCTGTGTGTGCTCTTGGATGTTTTCTTGGTCTTCTTAAGTGTGTTTTGTAACAGTTTGTAACAGTTTGAGTGCTGGGAAAGAAAAATTGCTGAGGATCATTTGGATAAACTTGAATTCAGCTGAACTGAATGTGAACCGAACTAGTTAGTTTTGTATAGGGACAAACGAGAACCAGAATTCGTTCCTTTTGAGGCATGTTGAACGTGAGCGAGAACTTGTTCCTTTTCGAAATGAATTTTCCAAGCTCTGATTTAATTTTCTCTTCGAATGCTTGTGCAAAACTCTCTCTCTCTCTCTCTCTCTCTCTCTCTCTCTCTCTCTGTGTGTGTGTGTGTGTGTGTGTGTGTGTGTTTCTGTAATAAAGCTTTACTTAAACCATAACCCAACAAGTGTCTCCAACTGCACCAAGGTGGAACTCAGGTGAATGCACTTGGTGGACCAAATAATAATAAGAAAGTTTGTAGACGTTTCCAGATCAAAATTCTTTCACCTAATCAAACAAATCTCCTAATTAAACATTAAATTCTTACACATCATTCTGTCCCTTCTTAGAAAGTTCTGAAAACTGAGACCGGCATTGGCACACCAGACCCCACACCATCCCTCTTTCTTTCTTTTTTAAAGCTTTTTGAACTTAGAAAAAACAACAACCCACATTTTCATAGTTAGGGGGTGCTGGGCAGGCATGTACACAGTTCACAGAATCATAGAATTGTAGAGACATGGGACCTCAAGGGTCATCTAGTCCAACCCCCTGCAATGTAGATGCTTATGTTATTATTTTTACTTGGAAAATATATTTTTCCTTTTCTATAACATCCCCCACCCCAGTAAATTCATTTGGCATCAGGGCAGCAAGAGCAAATTTCATTTTATTCCCATAGTCACAGCGGTGCTGCCATTTACATGTGTTCCAAATGCAAAACTGCACTTGTAGCTTCTTTTCTTTCCATCTGGGTTGGCAAACTGTGGATTGGAGGAGGAGGACAGCACCAAATGGGATGGGGGTGGGGAGAACAGAAATGCTCATGGTGTGCTCCACAACTGACATAATTACACCTGGCCCTCTAAAGTGTTCCCCATAAGACCCTTTAAGTCCAGGGTGTGAAATTACCAAGTTGTGGCACTGAATCCACAGCAAATCCACTGTAAGTCCAGCACCTGTGTTCTGAAGGAGGAGGAGTTGTTGGGAGTTAAGTTGAACAAGTCTCACCCCACTTCAGAAAGGAAACTCCAAGCCCCTTGAGAATACTTAGCTTGGACACATCTGTCTTGGGTTGGGGGGAGAAGTAATGAAGTTCTGCCCTTACAGGCCATTTTCTGATTTCTGCAATAGGGAGAGCACCTAGGGGTGCTCAAAGGGGTGGTGGTGACTCTGTTTGGAGTGCAAGTTGGTAACCCTGTGGCAGTTCACCACTCTCCGGAAATGCCCCCGCCTCTTTAGATGGAGATGTTGGCTTGTTCCTTTAACCTCCAAGCAGCTTCACATAAATGTCCTGGGATCTCTCCACTCTATTCCGTCATAACTGAAGAAAAAAATACGTTTTATCAGGGGGCTTTAGAACTCTCTCCAACAGAACTTTTCAGTGCCTGGGGGAAAATACAGTTTACAGGGTGGTTAGAAAACTATAATGTGTTTTCACTGCTTAGAAAACTATAATGTGTTTTCAGGCAGAGACAGACCTTCTGCAAATGTGGGCTGTTGTGCCCTGCGAGAGAAAGGTGATGTCTCCAGGTCCCAAAGGAGCCTGCCTTCATTTTAGCCGCACACAGAGAGGGATGCTGTCCACACTCTCATTTCACAATCCTCAATTGTTAGGGCGAGAAGACATGTAAAGAAGGATGCCCCCAGCCCATGAACATTAAAGACTATGAAGCTTCAGAGATAAAAGGAAGGGACGTTCTAGGGTTCTTCATGGGGGCAGGGTGGTGTAGATGTGGAGGAGAGCAAAGCGATTCGGACTTTGGAGAGCCAGCCACTGGATATCCTGCAGCTCTGCAGCAGTGAAGGAGACATCCCTCCCCCTTTCTGCCAGCTGCCCCCTGAGTCAACAACAAGCGTGAAATGTCCATGCCGGCAGCTGGGAGCATAAAAATGCAACCCACCCCAGTGACCGAGAGCAAAGAAGCTGGAATTCCATGTGGCTTGCATTAGTGACACCCTGCAGCAGAGCTCTTCTTGGAATGATGGCCAGGGAGTGAAGTGGCGGGGCAGGGAAGGAAAGCCCCATACAAAATCCTGAGGTGTGACCCACCATCCCTCTCCTCTGCTTGACTGCTGGGTGCTTCCACAAACCTCCCTTCTATGCTGAATTTCTGGGTTCTTCCCTCCTTGCAGAGAGATGAGCCCCCCATGCTCTGTTTTGTGGGGTCAGCTTCTTGCTTCTTTGGGAAGGAGAGGGAGAGAGAGAGTGCGCACATTGGCCTGGATAGCTCAGTTGGTTAGAGCATGGTGCTGATAATGCCAAGGTTGGAAGTTCGATCCCCGTGTGGGACAGCTGCATATTCCTGCCTTGCCAGGGGTTGGACTACATAATCCCCAGGGTCTCTTCCAACTCTATGATTCTATGTACACCCCCTTCAACAAGTTGGAAGGTGGGCACTACAGTGGTACCTCGGGTTAAGTCCTTAATTCGTTCCGGAGGTCCGTTCTTAATCTAAAACTGTTCTTAACCTGAAGCACCACTTTAGCTAATGGGGCCTCCCACTGCCGCTGCGCTGCCGGAGCACGATTTCTGTTCTCATCCTGAAGCAAAGTTCTTAACCCGAGGTACTATTTATGGGTTAGCGGAGTCTGTTACCTGAAGCGTATGGAACCTGAAGCGTATGTAACCCAAGGTACCACTGTATGCACTGATGTGCATATACACCTGTCCTGCATCCCCCAACTTTATACTGCACCCTGTTCCAAGTAGAAGATGTCCTTCCATGCAGTTGCAGATCTGTAAGGCCTTGACCCAAATCCTAAGCCTTTCCACCAAAGGGGCCCCTCACAGCTTGCGTGAGCAGGGCAGAGTGAAAGGATCCCCTTACAGCGGAGGACGGGGGGATGTGGCGTTCTTTGTTGCGCTCCAGGAGGTTCGCATGCGTGTGTGCATCCCCCCTTGGCCACCTGCTGCTATGGAATCCAGGGCTGAGAGCTGGGTTACATTTCAGGGCAAGTCGGGAGCAGGAGGGAAGGGATGGGGGGGGTCACGACTGGCAGAAATGCTGCATGGGAATGTGAAGTTAAATTCACACCAGTTACGAAAGCATCTCTCCTGGCCAGTGTGGCGTTGCTGTTAGAGTGTTGGCCTGTGGCCCAGGAGACCAGGGGCACCTCCATACTGTCACCATTTTGTGGCAGGGGGGTGGTTCAGGCGCATATTGGAGCTTTAAAGGTAAAGGGACTCCTGACCATTAGGTCCAGTCGTGGCCAACTCTGGGGTTGCGGCACTCATCTCGCTTTATTGGCCGAGGGAGCCGGCGTACAGCTTCCAGGTCATGTGGCCAGCATGACTAAGCCGTGTCTGGCGAACCAGAGCAGTGCATGGAAACACTGTTTACCTTCCCACTGGAGTGGTACCTATTTATCTACTTGCACTTTGATGTTCTTTCTAACTGATAGGTTGGCAGGAGCAGGGACCGAGCAACGGGAGCTCACCCCGTCACAGGGATTCGAACCGCCGACCTTCTGATCGGCGAGTCCTAGGCTCTGTGGTTTAACCCACAGCGCCACCCGCGTCCCTATTGGAGCTTTAGGTTTGTGTATAAAAAATGCTCTTGTCTCCCTACTGAAACGAATCCACTCCTTAAGAAAGAATCAGACTTTTGCAGTGTGGGATGAAGAAATGACCGTCAGGAAGACATATGGATACCCCACAAGCAAATCAGGATGAGTGCTCAATAAATAGGTCATTCAGAGGAACTCCAGGGTTCAGATCTACTGCTTGGCCATGAAGCTCATTAGATGACCTTGGGCTAGTCCCTGTCTTTCAGCCTCACCTACAAGGTTGTTGTGAGGATAAAATTGGGATGGGGAGAGCCATATATTGCACCTTGAGCTCTGCGGAGGAAAGGGGGGACGTAAATGTAAAAAATGCACTAGCATAAAAATTGAACAAGGCAACCAGTCTCTGGAGAGCTTTTGCCAAAGTTTGTGCTGCAGCCTTGTCTTTGCCCGACCCAGGGAGAGGCTGACGGGATGGGGCTTGTGTGAAGGCGGTGCAGAAGCTCAGCTCAGTCTCTTCTCTGCAAGGCTCCCAGCTGCAGCAGTAGGGCAAGCGGGTCTTTCCTTAGAAGCTGGGTGCCAGGGAAGTTTGCCAAAGCAAGATGGGAATAACGTGGGAAAGGAGCTGAAGGAGGGTCCGGCCGTTCAAAATAGAAACAAAAATAGATCTCACAGGGAAGGAATGAGAGGCAGGAAGCAGCCATCACCTCCCTTGGGTCAGAAGCTCAGAAGCGTAGCCTGCCCTGTGCCAAAATCTGGGCTGGGATCTTGGCTGGCTCACGAGGAAGGCCAAAGCAGACCAGTGCTAGAACATCTGCTCTGCATGCAGAATGTCCCGGCTTCTGTCTCCAGGTAGGGCTGGGAGAGAGCCCTGCCTGAACCTCTAGAGCTGCTGCCAGTCAGTGCAAGTGATACTAAGCTAGGAGGGACTGATGGGCCTGAGTCAATCTAAGGCAGCTTCCTCTGTAAGAAGTCCAGCCGTCTCCATGCAGCTGCTTCAGGGAGGGGAGATGTAGAGGGAGCAGGGAGCAGCAGCAGCACATTCTCAGCCGGCCCCCACAGTCCCCTTGCTTTTTATAGCCAACAGGTTCTGCTAGTATCCACATCGTGATGGCATGGAGACAGGCAGCAGATAAAAGCTTTTTCTCCCTCTCTTATGACACTAGAAACTTGTGAACATCCAGCAGAGCTGAATGTTGGAAGAGTCAGAGGACAGGTGAAAGTGCTCCTTCATGCAGCACATAGTTAAACTATGGAACTCATTCCTGCAGGGAGGTAGTGATGATCACCGACTTCGATGGCTTTGAAAGAAGATTGGGCAAATTCATGGAGGAGAGGGATATCAGTGGCTACTAGCCATGTGCTGGACTAGATGAGCCCCCTCTGGCCTGGAGGAGAATATAAGGAGGGCCCTGCTGGTTCAGGCCAGAGGAGGCCCATCTAGTCCAGCACCCTCTTCTCACAGTGGCTGACCAAATGCTTCTGGGAAGCCCAAATGCGCAACCAGGGCTTGGGATAAGAGCCTGGGCTACTTTTGATGGGAGAGCAACCTAGGATTCATCCTCCTAATATGGGGTTGAGCAAATCACAAAGAATAATTTTAATATATTCTGCTTAAAAAAACTTGGTGATTAGGTGACATATAAATGCCTTAAACCAGTGGTTCACCAAAACATTTTTGCCTGTGGACCACCTGGAAATTGCTGATGGTCTTGATTTTTCTGTCTGTTGTAGCCTTTGCAATGTGCTGTACTGGATGCTGTATGATTTTTAAATTTAGTTTTGGATTGCTGCTTGTATTTTTAAATATAGTATAATTATTGTATTACACCTTGGATTCCATAGAATTCAAATTTCAATATAATAAAATGCAATGTAAGAATAATCCAATTAAAAAGCAATGAGTATTTAACGCAACAGAATGTCTTTCACCTTCAGCCACAAATCCATGCACACAGCAAGGACCAACATGATGTTTGTGGGCCAGTGGTGGTCCACGGACCACAGTTTAGGGACTCTCAAGGGCCCCAGCCACTGTCCATATCACTGGGATCACTCATTGACAGCCGTCCGTCTCTGTACAGTATACCAAAAACCGGCCTTGTTACCTGCTTACCTGTCAATCAGAACATTGCTGCACTGACTCCCTGGCATCAGCCTGCCTCCTTTGTTGTGCTCTAGCAGCTCCTGGGCTGTGTAAGACCCTTCCTCACCATTTCCTCCAGGACTGTAGGGCCCTTCCCCCAAAGATGGCAAACATGCAGCTGCTCCTTACCACAAAGGGTTCTTGGGTTACCAGAGAGGAATGCACAGCCCACACCTGGCTCTTAGCAATCACTACATCCCACAGCTAGATGCTTTCAGCCATTGGCTGCTGCAAGATAAGAACAGAACATAGGAGCCCTGAAGCTGAATCAGGCACATCTAGTCCAGCCTCATCCCCTGTTGGAGGCGGGATGCTTCTCAATGCTAGTTGCTGGAAAGTTCAGGATAGGGACAGAGCCGTTGCGCTCATGTCCTGCTTGCAGTCTTCCCACAGGGATCTGATTGGCCACTGTGAGAACTGGATGCTGCACCAGATGGGCCTTTGGCCTGATCCAGAGGCTCTTTTTATGTTCTTATGTCCTTATCCTGTTCTCACGGTGGCCAGCTATAAGGGCTCATCCACACTTCCTTTCGTCCTGCTCTTTCCCCCGGAGAAAACTGTTCTTTGGCACTCAATCAGAGTAAATAGCAGTTCAGGTTTTCTCTGGATTGATGTTTGCTCCGAGTTAGCACTAAAGAGCACATTTTCTCTGGAGTAGGAGTGGGGCAAGGGGAAAACCACTCCAACTCATGCCTAGAAAGTGCAGGTCAAGTGGGAGACCACTCCAGCCCATGCTTTCTAGGCACGGGACCAGCAGAAGTGTGGACAAGCCCTCAGTGTCTCTTGGAAGAAGCCCCTAAGCAGCACCTGAGTGCAACAGCATTTTCCTTGCTTGTGAGTTCCAGCAACTGGTGTTCAGAGACATGCTGCCTCCAACATGGAGGGAGAACAGTGACTAGGAGACATTGATAAATAGCCTTATCTTCCATGAATTCCTCTATATTTTAAATCTACTCAAGGACTGATTGTACACCCAAGTTCTCAACCTAGTTGAATCAAATGCTGGAGCTGTGTATGGCAGGGAGTGAGGAAGCAAGCCAGGTAGGGACTGTGGCCCCTGGAGGACAAAGGAGTTTTATTTCTGCCAGATCTTCATTTTACAATACTTATAGCCTGCTTTTTCAGCTGAAAGCATGATGAGCCAAAGCAGCTTGTGCAGAACACAGAACCGCCATGAAATTAAAGTCAGAACCGAAGGCGTAAAAAACGGGAGTGTAGCAGACACAATAGTAAGCCTCTGAAGTCTTCAATATGTCTGAGACTGATACAACACCTTTTCCTTCCCCCTGGCAGGATGTCTGTTGCTCTGAAGAGGTCCATAGCAGCCCCCCAGTACTGCATCTAAAGCAGCAGAAGGATGGGACAGGAAGGGTGAAGAGGGCTTGGGTGATCCCTCCCATCAGCGTGTCAGAGAACCATAAGCGGCTCCCCCATGTTTTGGTGCAGGTAAGGAGGAGGAGAATGGCCAGCTTGGTATTCAACAGTGGTGGACAGTGTTGGTTCAGGAGAAGGCTTGAGAAGCAAAGAAGCGCCCCTCTCTTCCCCACCCTGGTGTGATGTTTCCATAGCTGCTCCTGCTCTCTGCTTGCATCCCATCAAGGTCTGCATTTAGGCTTCTGACCCAGGATCGTGCCTTGGAAGGAAATGGCTGGACTGAGCCAGCCCTGAGATTCCCCACAGTGACCTTCATTGAGATGCTGAGTGTTGCCATGTGCCAATAGCACAGCACCCTGCAGAAACACACCCACTTGCTCATTGTGCTCATTGCTAGATCCAGTCCAGGGGCCGCCACCCTTCCTTACAGCCCCATCACAATTAACCAGGTTGTGGCTGCTCCTCTCCCTCCCACTCTGCCTCTGTAGGCAGGTTAAAAATACAGTCTGGCAATGGCACACATCCTTCAAGACATGCAGTGCTCACCTATGGCCACACCGGTTCATTACACCATGAATGTTGACCGTAAGCACTGAATGTGTGTGAGTGGCCTTTGTTATGGTGAAGACACAGCTGCATTTGCACGGCAGGCTCCCCCACACCTGCGGCTTGCAGGCACCCACGTGGCAGCCCCTCCTTGCACAACAGCACATGCATTCACAAGAAAACTGGCCCTTGCCTTCCAAGGACGTTGCACTGTGCATCAAGCCTTTCATTGCACCATGCATCGAGAAAGGATCCTGGCTCAGTGGCAGAGCATCTGCTTTGCGTGCAGAAAGTCCTCCCAGGTTCAATCCCCAGCGGCATCTCCATGCAAGGCTTAGAAAGACTCCCTGCCTGAATCCCCCTGGAGAGCCACTGCCAGTTAGCGTAGAGATAATATCACGCTAGATGGAATCAGGCAGCCTTCTATGTCCCTGAGCCTGGTTGGGATTTAAGTCACATCTGGGTACAGAGAGGGGGAAGGGCAGCACCTGTGGGCAGGAGCAGGGGAAGTGCCAGCCCTCTCCCAGCACACAGGATTAATCTCCCTTTTGTAGATTAAATCAGACAAGCAGCAGCCCGGAGGTGTGATCTACAGCATCAAGGGTCCAGGAGTGGATGAAGATCCCAAGGGTGTGTTCTCCATCGATAAACGCAACGGGAAAGTCTACCTCAACACTGTGCTGGACCGGGAAAAGAATGACCGCTTTCGGGTAAGGAAAGCCCAACTTGCTTCGTGGTTCATTGCAGCTCCGGAGGGTGTTTTAAATGTCAGGGCTGAACACATGCAAATGGTGGTGGTAGTGATGATAAGGTGCTTCTGAGCATGTGCAAAAATGTATTTCCCTGAGTAGACTCTGCCAACCCTGAGATGTCCGAGATGTTGGGTTGCCACAGGCCAAGCTGGCTGAAGCTGATGAATTTCCAGACCCAGAATATTTTAAGGATGGAAGAATCATAGAACTGTAGAGTTGGAAGAGACCCCAAGGGTCAACAAGTCCAACCCCTGCAATGCAGGAATCAAGCTAAATGCAAAATCTGGCCCAAGAATAGATAAGCCAAAGGGCAGATAAGTTTGGCAATCAAGCAGTTCTCTCTCACCTCCCAAGCAGAAGACTATTCACACCCCAGTCAGCAAGGAGGGCAGGACACAGACTGTGAGTGGAGACAGACAAGTGAGTGCCTTGTTCCAAAGTGGGGGGAGAGGCAGGGTCATGGCAGATGGAGGGGGCAGGAGGTGAGGAACAAGTCTGTGCTGCAAGCCAACTGGTAGACCAACTGAGCAGTCAGAGACAGTGGTGAAGTTGGTGGCTGGTTGCCAGTTCCTTATTTGCCCAAAAGTTTGAAACCCTGCTCAGTCAGAAAACTGAAAAAGGAACTGAAGTTCTCAGAGCTCCAAAATAAACTTCAGGCTGCCCCATATTATCTCTCTCAGGAAATGGTCACCTTCAAGATCCACAAAACTTATTTTCTACCTTCTGGGGGTGCCATGCCTGATGGCGTCCTTTAACCAAAGCATTAGGCTGGGCCCAATTGCAATGTCATTTCATAGAGGACTCTTTTCTGGAGCTGTGGGGCATCATTTTGGGCAGCCCAAAGCTTAATATGGGATGAACATCCCCAGTTCCTAATTTGGGGTCATCATGCATGCATTTGTGAATGTTGCACAAAAACAGTGCTTTTGATCAAAGATACTTATTGTGGATCTTGAAGGGGACAGTCTTCCTGGTTATGTGTGGATCTTTTAAGACAGAACTAGGCTTATATTGATGATAATAACTTGACGCCTCTTGCTTTGCCCATGCCCAGCTCAGGGCCTTTGCACTAGACCTGAGTGGAGTTCCACTGGAGGATCCCACAGACCTGGAGATTCTGGTCATGGACCAGAATGACAACCGGCCCCTCTTCCGGCAGGCTGTGTTTGCTGGGCACGTGGTGGAAGAAGCTCCCCCAGGTGGGTGTGCCAGACCCTCGCATGGTTCTTGTTTAATACGGATGGGCCAGTTCTCTGAGCCTATCAAGGTGGGTTGAACTGGAAGCTAAGGGTGGGGAACTGTGAGAAACAAGTAGCAGCTGATAGGAATGACCGTCCCCTGCCTTAGACCTTCGAGAGTTTGTATGCGACAACAGCTGCACAAATATTGATAGCCCAAAACTGGAAAGAGGAAAAAACTCCCACGGAAAAAGATTGGCAAATAAAGTTAATGGAATATGCTGAGATGGCTAAATTAACAGGAAGACTCAGAAATCAGGACAATAACAAATTTTAAAATGAATGGGAAATTTTTATTGCATATATGTCAAAGCCTTGTATACAAGTTGATACATCAGCAGGATTCTAAAAAACATTTGCAGTATTATGATAACAGATCGAACTAGATATTATGTGGACATGCAAACCTTCAAGAGTTCTGCCAGTCAGTGTTGACACCACTGGGCTAGATGGGAAAATAGATTGTCCTGGTGGAATAAGGCATCTCTGTTCCTTCTCAGGTACCTACGTGATGACGGTAGAAGCCACAGACGCAGACGACCCTGAGACAGACAATGCCGCATTGAGATATTCCATCCTGGGACCAGAGATGGGAGACGTCTTCACAATTGACGAGCTATCAGGAGAAATTCAAACAGCCCGAGCTGGGTTTGACCGGGAGGTACAAGCCTGTCAATGTTTGTCTCAGAGCTTGAGGGTGGAATGCAGTCGTGGGTGACAGGTCAGTAGGCGCCAAAGAGCAGAGTGGACTGTATGCTGCACCAAAGAATGAAGCCAGTGGGAATCTGGGGTGAAACATTATTTCTCATTTGAATCTGCACACAAACTTTGATCATTTAAATCCTTAGGGTCTATTTTGTTACGACATTCCCAATTTTGAAAGGTAGTGGGCTGAGATGTTTTTGAAAAAACGGGGGCAATCATTTTGAATGCAGCATATTAATGCTGTAACATTATTGCACTGAATTATTTTTAATAGCGTCTCACACACACACACACACACACAGTCTCAAAACTATACTTGAAAGAGTGAAATGTCAGGAAATGATTTGCAGTATTCTAAAAATACACCCAAATTTTACTTTATTTTATTTGCAAAAATCCAGTACAGTACAAATAAGCTTTGACCTACCGTCTTTTGGAAAGAAAGGTGGGACAGAAAACCAGGTTTTTAAACTTATCTGACACTAGTAGCCTCACACCCAGCATTGCTGAATAATTCTAAGAAACAACAACAACAAAAATCAGTGCAGTTTTGAAATCGGGTTTAAATAGGTGCAATTTTTAAAGTTTCGCTGCACCATCTTGATTCAGAATGATGCCCAGATGTATCCAAATATAGATTTTTTAAAAATCTGCTACTCAAGCTCAAGAACCACCATGCAATTTGGTTACAGCATCTTAAGAGGTGTCCAAACGTATAAAGAACTGCAAACAACTTTCCGAAAGGTATTGTAGGTATGGAACCCAGGGAGGAATAGGCAGATCCTAGAACCATGTGAATGGTATGCTTCCCTCTCTGGCTCGTACCCTCTTCCCCACACCGTCACCTACCTCTGCTCCTCTCCACGCAGGTCGTCGGCATTTACAACCTGACGCTCCAAGTGGCAGATATGTCCGGAGAGGGTCTGGCCACCACCGCCACAGCCGTTATCTACGTCGATGACATAAATGATAACCCGCCTGAGTTCACAGAGAAAGAGGTGGGGAGCCTACCCCCACGCACCCACCCACTGAGGAGGCAGAACTGGTGGGAGAGGAGACTATAAAGGACCCTGGCTGGGTTCTTTATCCGGCTGGTGTGGCTGGAAGTTCCTTCTGCTCCATTTGAATGGAGTTAGGGGCATGAGAGTGCAGTGGAGCAGGGCTTTGTTTGGCCTCTCCAATATCTCCTGAATAATACCAACAGCAACGAAACCCACTCCAGTTGTGAAGCAGGAGGTGATCCATGCTGATGAATCAGTGCAGCCCACAAAACGCATCAAGTGTGGGCCATAGCACATAGGCTGCTCCTGCCAAGCCCCTTGGCAGCATCCAATTTCTATTTATCATTCTTGTTTATTCCCAATGCTTCCCCCACAAAGAGTTCAAGATGTCACACATAGTTTTGCCCCTTCTCCAGTTCTCCATCAAAAACAAGAAAGAAGGGGAAGACTGTGCCCTGCAAAGTGTGCACTGGGAGATCTAGCCAGGCCAAAGTACTGAATAACTACCCCCCCCCTTTCTCTTGCAGTTCTCCATGGAGGCCCCTGAGAACAAGCAAGGTGTGGTTATTGGGAGAGTGCTGGTCCAAGACAAGGACCTCCCTGGTTCTTCCAACTGGTTGGCTAAGTTCACTATTCTGGAGGGGGACCCCAACGGGGCTTTCGCCATCCACACCGACCCCCTCACCAACGATGGCGTCATCTCCCTGGTGAAGGTAAGGAATGGCATTCAGCTGGACCCATCCCTGGAGCCTGTTTAGAGCACCGGGTTCAACCTTGGAACAATGGCCAAAGCACCGGGTGCTAATGAGCATGCACAGAGTGTGTTCTGCTCACCATGGAGTAGCCATAGCCTCCCCCATTCCCTAAATATGAGGCCTGGGGTGTGGACTTTGAGGGGAGAGGGGTTTACAGGCTAGCTGTCTTTGTAGAGTTTAAATAAAGGCACACAATCCCAAACTTTAAGCAAGCAAGGTAATGATAACAAGAGCACCTCTCACCATGCGCTAAGGGCAGGTCCATCAGCACAGGGTAGCCACAACCAGTCGCCAGTCCTCCTGGATGAAGGGAGCAGGATTCTGGGGCCAGAAGCCACAATACGCAAAGTGGATTTGAGCTCTTGCAACTCTTGCTTTAGCTATCAATAGCTGGTTGAAGCTCAAAACAGAGCAGACAGAGAAAAGGCTGGGAAGCAGGAATGCTGGCCCTGTTTGAGGGATTTGCAACGATGGGAGCAAAAGGGTCCCACGCCACTAACCACGGCTTCACCAACTCTCTCTCCCTATCGTCAGGCCCTCAACCACGAAGAACGGGACCGGTTTCAACTACTTGTCTCTGTCCAGAACCAAAGTCCCCTGGAGCTGTCTGCCCCAAAGGCTGCCAGGGCCTTGACCACAGTGCGGGTGCACGTGCTCGATGCCAATGAAGCCCCCTTCTTCCGGGAGAATCCCTGGAGGGGAAGCGTGAATGAAGGTGCACCCCCTGGCACAGAGATAACCCTCTACCGTGCCAGTGACCCAGACACCCTGCAAGGGCAGCAACTCAGGTGAGCTGGGCCAGAGGGCTTCAGGCTACCGTCCAAGGAGATACTCCAGGTTAGCCTGCATTGGGAGCAGGTGGGTGATCTTAAGGAGGAAGGGAGCAGAAAACCCCCTGGCAGGGTTGGCCTCCAGGGCTTGGTGGGATTCTGCCCTTCCGGAGCTGCAGACCAAAGGCATGGCTTGGTGCCTGGCATAAAATTCAGCACCACAAGAACTGCAGCTCCTGTTCCCCTTTTTGTTTTAAATAAGTCTCTAGCCTTTATGGCCTAGAAGAAAAACATACCAACTTGCAGAAACAGAAGAAAAGTCCTGCTGGATCAGGTCAAACGCTTACTTAGTCCAGCATCTTGTTCTCACAGTGGCCAACTAGATGTCTATAGGATACCCACAAGCAAAACCTGAGTGCAACAGCATTCTTCCCCATTGTGATTCCCAGTGACTGGTATTCAAAGGCATACAGCCTCCAGCAGTCAGGGGAGAGCATAGTTGTCATGACAGTGTTTTGTATGAGCCACTGCAAGGCGTCTCCTCCACCACACAAGCCCAATTTGCCTCCCAGATGTGTGTGACATCCTGGCGAGTGTAACTTTGCCTCTAGGTATTCGTGCTGTTCATGAATACACACACACACAAACACACAATATTAGCATCTCTTTCTCTGACCTGCATCCTCAGGTACTTCCAGGCCTCTGACCTGGCCAGCTGGCTGCAAGTGGACCCTGACTCCAGCCTGGTGCAGACACGACAGACGGTTCCCCCACGCTCAACATTCCCAGGCGGCTGGTACACTTTGCAGATCCTGGCCAGCGATAATGGTGAGAAGGTCAGGCAGAGAGTGGGAAAGGACAGGAACAAGCCCATGGCTAGAAGGTCACTGTAACAGGGGCAGGAAATCACTGCAAAACAGCCGGCATGGAGATGCAAGACACCTGATCATGTCGCTTGCAGAGCATCTACACATCTTTCAGTTAGTGTCACTCATTTGTTCCCACACTTTTCAATGTATTTCCTCATCGCTTTTCAAGTAGCAGAGCCGAGGGCTGTTCTTTATAATGGAGGTTTTGTTACACTGGGGCAGCAGAGGCCTTTAATCCACTTCAAGTGCACAAATCAAATGTTATGATAGGTGCTTGAATACCCCCTGCAAAATACTGAAGCTGAAGCTGCCTTTAGAGAGTCTCAGAAGGGTATATTGGATCATAGAAAATAGTCTGGCTCCACCAGTAGCCAGAAGATGCCCTTGGGAGAGTTTGCAAAAAAAAAGTATCTATCCCTTATTTGCCACAAAGCCTCTGGTAGTCAGATATAGATTTCCCCTCCACATGGAAGTTCTATTCTTTCCAAGGTAATAGTCAGTGACAGGGCAAAGCCAAGACATTTTGCTGATGGAGGTGGCCAAGATGTCTCCTCTGCCTTTCCATGCACAGGTGACTGGGCTGGTAGTTGGATCTGCTGCCAACAGGGTAGCATCGTACGCATCTGAAGGCAGCAAGCTAGTTTAGGGACTGTGGGACAAGTAACTTTAGGACAAGCCACATGGAACAGAGAGCTCTAGCCTCCAACCAGAGGGAATTCCCAGGGGCTCAGGAAGAACAGCCTGCAACCACCTACCAGTGGTCTGCCGCCTAAGGCAGCTTCCTCACACTGCTTATTGTTAGGGCCGGCCCTAGTCACAATTAAAGCTATCCCTTAGGAATGCATCTACGTTCTCCTGCTTTTTGTTTAGGAAACCCGTCCTTGACAGCTACGGGGACCCTGTCCATTGAGGTGCTGGAAGTCAATGACCATGCTCCTCTTCTGCTTCCGGTGACTAGCGAGCTATGCAGCCAGGGCGGACGCCTGGTGCTGAGCGCCACTGACGACGACCTGGCTCCCCACGCTGAGCCCTTCCACTTTCGCCTCAGCCCTGACATGGCTCAGAATTGGACTCTCGGACACATCAATGGTAACCTTGACCTGGTGGGAGTCAGCACCCCTACATTTAGCAGAGGGTGGGAAAGAGATTCAACCAGGGATGGCATCAGCGTTTGGCATTCCCAGTCAATTCCAAGGGGCCTGAGCACCCCACCTTAAAAAAAAAAAAACATTGACCTGGCTCTCTGAGCAAGGCTGGACCACAAAGTCTAGCCACCATTTTAATTTCCTTCAACATCACTCCAAGGTATTGTGGGAAATTAAAGTGGCAGCTAGGCTCAGCTTCCTGGCACTGCCTGTCCCTCAACACAGCTGTTTCTGCCATTGCTGCTGCTCCCAAGTAAGCCAGCCAGTGGGCACCTTGACCTGGGACCCCCCCAGACCCACTTGGATTGGTCTTCCTGCAAAGGTAACAGAAAGCATTATGGGAGGGGGGTGCAGAAGAATAGATACAGTCAGGCTCCTGCTTGCTCCATCCTCCTCCCTGAAACACTCCCATCTGTTACAGACACCCATGCACTGCTGCAGACTGAAGGAGAAGTGGACGTAGGGCTCCACGTCCTGCCGCTGCTCATCAGTGACTCGGGGACACCGCCACAGGTGCGAGAGCAGCTCCTGAATGTCTCTGTGTGCGCCTGTGACAAGTGGGGCTCCTGCCAGGCTCACGTTGCTGCCGTGGTGGGTGCTGTGGCAGGCCTGAGTTTCGGGGCCTTGATGATCATCCTGAGCTGCACCATCCTGCTCTTGCGTAAGTGCAACACGCCTTCTGGCGTGAGATTCAGGGCCTGTTCCTAAAAGGGCATTATGCTGGGGCATGTCTGATGTGGTTCAGTCCCTCAAGCTCAACCTAATGGTAGGGCCGGCCTGGCCAGTGGGACCCGAGGTACAATGTCAGAGCAGGCTTCTTGCATCTCTTAATTGCTCAGGAGTAGGAGCTGCCAAACAACAGCTGTGTGTCATGCTATGCAGAGGCCTGGGCAGCCACCACAAATAGCAAGGCCTTTTTGGAAGGAACTTGGGCCTCTGCTCTGGAACTTTTCATCAAGTCCTCCCTGCTGCTCCTCCAAAAATGGGGAGAATCGTTTCTGCTTCCACTGGCCTTTTGAGTACTAATTATTACTTTTCTCACACTGCATTGATTTTCTGCTGTAATCTATCCATCCATCCATCCGAAAATGTAATATATTAAGGAAAATTGCTGTGCAACACACACACACCCCATATTACGAAAAAATGCATAATGGTGTGCATATGAGGAGAAATTCTCGCAAAACTGCTGAAAAAATTCCATGAGGACTTAAAAAAAAAAAGCAAACTAATATGGAGAATTGAATTTAGGATCGGACAAAAATGAAAAACTGAGAGAAACCAGAGTTGAGATATTTGCTCATTCCTACTTGCAGGAGGCTGGGGAAAGGACATGTTTTGATGCTCTGCAACACACACACACACACACACACACACACACACACACACACGGCTCCTGCTGCTTTTAACCTCTCCCTCTCTGCTTGCAGTCCTGGCCTTGCTGGTGGCTGCGCTGGAGCATTCCCGCCGTCAGGCCTTCCACAAGGGTCTCCTGGGGGGCTCTCAGGATGACTTGAGGGACAACATCGTCAACTACAACGAACAAGGCGGCGGAGAAGAGGACCAGGTGAGACCCCAAATTATATGTGGGGGTGGGGTGGGAGAGCACGGCAGAGAAGGCAGCCTGAACAATTTATGATGGACTTAAAGAACTACGGAACTCCCTCCTGCAAGAGGCAGGGATCGCTAACTGGGTTTGGCTTTAAGAGAGGACTAGACAAATTCATGGAAAATGAGACTGCCAATGACTAGCCACAACGGCTGGTAGTAACTCCACTGTTGGAGGCAGGAGGGCTCTGAATGCCAGTGGCCAAGAATTATGGGTGGGGAGAGGTGATGTCACACTCGGGTCCTCCTTACAGGTTTCCCATTGGCCATGGTGAGAACAGGATTTTGTATGCATTTTTGATTGGGGGTCTCCCAACTTGAATCCTCCCCTGCTTCTAAGCCTCATCTGCCAGGCCCCAGCAGGGCCAGGAAGCCTTGTGTCTCTCTCTCACACACATCATGGTTGTAAGGTCCCTCTTCCTGCCTTTCAGGATGCCTACGACCTCAACCAGCTGCGCAACCCCGACCTCTTCCCCCCACCATCTCTTCGGAGCAAGCCGCCGCACCGGAGGGACGCCCCCTACAGCTACGGCCTGCCTCAGTACCCCCGGCGGCTGCCTGCCTGTCCTTCCGACATAGAGGACTTCATCAACGAGGTACTGAAGAGACACATCGGGCTGGGAGGGTGGCAGCATGGGGAGAGGAACTGTTGAGGATGGGAGAGGCCAATTGGGGCAGAGCAGGAAGTGGGGGGGGCCCTCCCCGATTTTGGCCACACGGAGCTACCCCCTTCTCAGTTTGGTGCTGGCACAAGTTATCAAGAAGCTGCAGGGCCTAGCAGCCGATACAGCAGGAGTGGGGAACCTGGAAAATGGTAGATGTTGCCGAATTCCTGGCTCCCATCATCCTTTGCCTCTGCCTGTGCTGGGAATTGGGAGTCCAGCAATTGCTGCAGAGCTGTAGGCATCCCCCCCTTGCGGTGCAAGAGGTAATGGCTAGGAAAAAGGAGGCCTGGCAAGTAGCTAGCTTGCCCTTTTGGCTCCATGGGGGCTGCAACTAGAACATTTAAATCTTATTTTAGTCATTTAAAAATTGTATATCCCGCTTGTCACTATCCAAGTCTCAGTTAAGGGGAGAGGGTCCTTAGGATGTGGTTTGTCTTGGTGGTCCTCTGCTGAGCTCCCCTCCCCCTGCAGGGCCTTGAGGCGGCAGACAGCGACCCCAGTGTGCCTCCGTACGACACGGCTCTCATCTACGACTACGAGGGCGAAGGCTCAGCCGGCGGCTCGCTCAGCTCCATTCTCTCCAGCTTGGCCGACGAAGACCAGGATTACGACTATCTCAACGAATGGGGCCCACGATTCCGGCGCCTGGCAGAGCTGTACGGTCAATAGCGGGGGTAGGGGGAAGAAGGGGGGCAGGAAGGGGAGAGAGGCCATTCCAGCAGCCAAGTATGTGCTGGACTCTGCCAGCTGTGGAAAGAGACCACGCAGCCCAGTTACCCTCTTGGTCTCTGGCTGGCCCCACTGCCAGCAACCCCCCCTCCTCTCAGCAGCTGCTGCTGCAGTAGTTATGGGGGTCACTTCCTGTTATGCCACCTAGTTTCCTCCGGCAGCCATCTTGCAGATGATGACCACTGCCCACTGTGGGGAAGGAGGGGATCAGCGACCCTTAAACTCAGGTGCTCCCGAAAGTCAGCACCGTGTCCTGGGAAGAGCCAGCCCAAAGCAGGGAGGGAAGGCAATGCCAGTCCCAGAGTCCCAGGCATAGATAGGGATGAGGGCCCTTTGCCCTCTGGCCCACTGGCCATTCTCACCCAAGGCTCTGAGCACCCAGCAGGCAAGTGGGTGGAGCCAGATGATGACAACAACCTAGGTTGGGAAAATTGGGTAGGGGGGAGAAGACCGTAGCAGGAGCCCCCGGATGAAGGGACCTCCACTGGGCTAGATGGGGGCTCTGGACCCTCCACACCCCTTCCTGAGCAGGCTAAGGCAGACGACTCAAGACACTTTGCTGGGCCCCGCTGCACCCCTTAAGAAAGAGATCCAGGACGCTTTGGAGCTGTGAGGGGAGCAGCTGGAAATAAAGCAGTTGAAGATGGAGCTACAAAGGTGTCACACAGTTTTTTATTAGAAGTGCTTGCGGGAACCAGAGCCTATAAGGCACTGATGGTAGGGCTGCAGTGGCTCTTTCTCTGCGAGACGGAGAGAGGAGAATCCAAAAAGCTGGCGCCCTCCAGGTGTTTTGGACTACAACTCCCATACTAGCCCCAAACGTCTGGGGGGGGCAAGAGGCAGATGATCCTGTGTGACGGCCAGCCGCCCTCTGTGCTCACAGCCTCACTCCAGTTTTTAGGAACGTGATGCAGTCCTTCGATGGGGTGGCAGGGGGACTTAAACACCCTCCTCGCTGCCCCAAGGCATGCAGTCCAGGCCACTACATCCCTTCCAGAGTGCTGTTGTGCCGGGAGCGCGCCGGGAGCAGCGGTCTTGTTTGCCCAGAGCTGGCTCCATGGTGGGAGCCCAGCATCTTCTTGGTGGCTGAGACGAGGCGGGCGTAGCTGTCGGGGTCATAGGGGCCAGCTGTGGAGCGGGTGGAGAGCAGCGGCAGGTGGTCCTTGTGGCGCTGGCGCTGACTGGAGTGGAAGAGCGGGGGCCGGTGCTGACTCTCCCCGTCCAGCAGAGAGTCCGGAAGGGGCCTGCTGGTGCTCTCCGGGAGCAGCATGATGCTAAGCACCGACAGGATGGCGAAGGAGGCAAAGATCACATGGTGGAGGAAGAAGCCATGGCTGTTGTGGATCTCCATGAGTGGAGTGGTGGCCTGGCCCACCAAGCCAGCGGCCAGGATGAGGCCCAGCCCAGCACCCCTGCAGAAGAGAAAAGGGCAGCAGTGTTGGGAACAAGAAGTGCTGGGCAGGGTGAGGGGGGTAGAAGAGAGGAAGTCCGGCCTGGCTACATAAGGCACAAGCTCAGCAGCTAAGGACAGAGTGGGGCTCCCCACAAGATTAACCCTGTGTGCCATGTCCCAAGGTCTTTCTCCCTCCCCCAAGCCCACTCCTCTTTTTTTTTTAAAAAAATGTAGTTTTTACTGAGGATTTTTTGTGTTACAAAACAGATGCTCACTCCTTCTTTTAATGGCTAGTGTGGCTATGTGAGAAACACACAAAGGAGCTGCCTTTGGCCAGGGCAGATCAGTGTCAAACTCTGGCTGGCAGCCTCTTCCCAGGGCTGGCCTCATGCCCAGGAAGGCTTTTACCAGGCCTGCAATCCAGTATCAGAGAATGATGACTGGAGCTTCAGGAGGGGGCCCACCCAGTGCTAGAGAGCAGCTGCTTTGCATCCGGAAGTTCCCACATTCCACCCCAATGACATCTTAATTAGAGAGCTGCCGGTATATCTTCCTATATACATAAAAATGTAATGTTGTCATCACGCTGCTCCTGTTGGGAGGATTTGCATGGTTGGCAAGCAAAGCAAGCAGGGGCGCGAGCCCCTTGAAACAACGCTCAGCCAGATGGACTAATGGTCGGACTCCGTAGAAGACAGATTCCTGTATATCACCTCCTGCATGCAAAGCAGATGCTCTACCACAGACCTACTTCTTCCTCAGTGGAAACCAGGGATTTAAATGTTCACAGGACCGGTCATTTGGGTAGATTGGGCCTCTCCTGTTCCTCCCATCCCAACCCCCAGCTGAGATAATGCAGCAGTCACCCTCCAACTCTGGGTTCTGGGCCTGCCAGTCTATTATCATCATCATCATCATCATCATTATAATTAGATTTCTATACCGCCCTTCATCAGTGGAACACAGGGCGGCTTACAGTATACAGTCTAGGCCTCGTGTGCCTGCACAGCACATGCAGGGAGAGGAGAGACGCCTCACCTGACCACGGTGGGAAGCACCTCGCCGGCAAACAGGACGCTGAGGGCAGAAACAGCTTGTGACGCGAGGATCCCCAGGACAGAGAGCAGCACAATGAGCCAGGACATCAGGTCTAAGGGAGGAAGAATAGAGAGGCAGGCAGGCTAAGCAGGTCTGCCCAGCTGCTAACCAAAGTGGATGGCCCAGAGAGGCCTTCATAGAGCAAACCTTAGCACAGGAGAGGAACCCATGGCAGTCCAAAACCACATTCCCTTCTGGGCTGCTTTCCAGGGGCCACATGCCAGTGCCACACCCCTCTCTGTCCTCCAACCATGCAAGCAAGAGGCCATGTCAGAGGTCAAGGAACTGTTCCAGCCAAGCAAACACACTGGGGAGCAGGGAGGGGTCAAAATAGGGCCAGGTACACAGGCTTGGAGGGACACAGCTCCAGGCCCAAGGCTTCCAACCCCTGCCTTAGCAGGTAACTCGCGCAAGTGTGCCAAGCTGCATGTGCACGGATGAGGACGGCTCGTGGCAGCTTTGATCACTCTAAACCCAGCCAGGAGAAGAGAGCCCGGGAGGGGTGGGGTGGGGGTCTCTTCTGGGAACTTATGGTACCCCCCCATAACACTGTCTGCTTACACTGAGTCAAGGCCAGTAGCAGCAGCGAAGAAACGCCCGTCAGGATGGTGCTGAGCAGGAGGGCGGCGCGGCGTCCAAAGTGGTCCACGGTCAGGCACAAGAAGAGGAGCGCAACCGCCTCACTCGCCACCAGCAGGAAGTAGGGGAAGTAGAAGCCCGGTGCGTAAGAGTTCAGGTTGCGGGTGAAGCTGTGGCGGATCCCACTCCCAATGAACCTGGACGGTAGAGGAGACAGGAGGCGGGGGCAGAGAGATGATAAAATGCTCTGCAGTAACTCTAGGAGGATGGACCAGGGGTTATAGTTTGACAGTGTGAGCAGGGATATGGGTCCCGTGGGTCAAATAAAGAGGGTGGCACATGGGCTGGAAGTTCCCCATCCCTGCCCAAGAGAAGCATTACTTGTGAGTAACTCAGGACAGATAGCAAAGAGGATCAATGTATAGGTCTGTGAAGAGGCCAATTGGATGCCCCTGGGAAGCCTACTGGCAGCAGGGCGGGGAGGCAGCAGCCCTCTTCCCACTGTTGCTCACTAGCAATTGGTACAGTATGCAAAGGTAGGCTGCCTCTGGACGTGGAGGCTCCAGGAAGACATCACAACTAATCGTCACTGCTGGGAGATTTCACCACCACAGCAACTTCAGAGTGGCTGCCGACACTTCCCAGCACAGCTCCCAGCTCCCACAACCAGTTCTCAAAGAACCCACAACACATCAGGCTCTTACGCAGTGAAACCCAGGATAAGGCTGTTCTTCCAAATGACCCGGGTGCGGAAGATCTTGCAGATGCTGTGGTACTGTGGCAGAGGGGCCCCTCCAGACAGGTTGTCCAGCTCTGGAGACGGAATTAAAAACATATAGTGAGACAACTAGCACCACTAATCCAGGAAACCTGCAGCATATATATTTTTTAACTAATTGACATGAAGAATATACATGCTGGCATTCAATTAAATTCTCAGGGCAACTAGCAGCAAAAAGTTAACACAATGAAATAATCTCTCAACAATGCAGGAAAAACCACAGACCAAACAGCAAATAAAAATGTCAGAAGAATGAATTAAGAAGTCTTGAGATTTATTTACATTTTCAAGGTCAGTGGCAGGTGCCTAAAGGGCAGCCAAGAATCCTTGGGTGTGCCAAAGCCAAAAAGGTCCTCTTCCATCATTTCACAGACGTATGCGTGGGTCCTCTTTGCTATCTGTGCTGAGTTATTCACAAGTAATGCTTATCCTCTTGGGCAGGGATGGGGAACTTCCGGCCCATGTGCCAAATGTGGCCCAGGAGGCTGTTCCTGAGAAACCATCACCTACTTGCCCCACAACTGACATCATAGGACACCGCATATGCAACTTCCAAGGAACAAATGGGAGCTTAACAGGAGCTCCTGATTGTTCCTCTGCCGGAAGAAGGTGGGCTCCCACTACCCATCAGTGCACCTTGTTCCTCAGCAGGAAAAAGCTTGCACTGAAACTGGTGCTAAAATGGGAAAGAAAGAGACTCGTTTTTCCACAGTGGCTTCAGTGGAAAGTGCTGCCTGCCCCTGGAGCAAGAGTACACCTTCAAAGAGAAGCCACTGTGATATCAGGTAACTGACAAACAGCCCTGCTTCCTGTCAAATTTGGCCTGAGAGGGCAGTTACAGGAATCTGGCCTGCTTGATGGGGTAAGGGGAAAGTTTCTCCAGCTGTGCTCTTGGCAATGTTGGACTCCCATCAGCCCCATCCAGCATGACTAACACTCACGGGGGATGGAAGTCTATCTTCACCTGGAAGGTGACAGGCTCCCCATCCCCTCCTCTAGGGGACCAAAAAACTCCACCCACATCAGAGAAACACATCCACCCATGTTGTGGCTTGCACACCTGCTTCTCTCACAGTGGGTCAAGAGGCATTAATCCCAAAAAGGCAATTCTCCGATTGCATGAGGATGCCGTACCTTGCACCCAAAGTAACCTGGCAGGGCAGCCCCACCAACCTGAGCTCCAAATGAGCACCCAGCACCCCGTTGGTCCAAGCCAGAAACTGATAAAGCAGCAAGGCTTAGAGTGAGGGCCAAGCCTAGCCCCTCAGACCTCACCTGCAAACAGGTGCTCCCAAGTGTAGGAGTCATCCTCCAGGCGGATTCCATTGCCCTCGGCTAAATCGCGCAGAACCTGCTTGCCTTCCTCAAGCTGCTGAGTGGCCAAGAGCCAGCGGCCCGACTCGGGGGAGAGGGCAGGACACCTGCTCCCAAAAAAGAAGAACAAGCACCGCTGACGACCCCTGGAATCCTGGCAGGCAGAGCTGGAGTGTAGCTGCTCCTTCATTCTGGACAGTGCTCTCCACATGGAGAGCAACTACCCAAAGCCCAAAGCTTACTGGATATTCTTGGGAAACCCAGTCTCTTGGCTACAGCCTGCACAAACAGGAGTAACCACAACCACACTGTGCAAAAACGAACAAGGCAAAACTTTCAGGGGAGAAGTGGGAGGGAGAATACAACCAAAAGTTTATTAAAAATCTAAAACATGTACCATTATTATTATTATTATGAATTTTGGTGGAGGGGGGTTAAAGCTGATGGTTGTTATGTTCCCAAGCACGAACCAATTCAGAAGATCTATGGGGGCAGGGAGCCTTGAGTGCATATGACACTGAAAACTCTCCTTAGGTGGTGTTTAAGGAAGTGTGGCTTGTGTGGTGAGATGGGGGCTTTTCAGAAGAACAGTCAACTTGCCACATCTCAAGTAGCAAGGAACAGCTGAACTGTGCAGCCTTTTGCTGCTATGTCAGTGAGCCATACTAATGGCCTCTGCCCGCCAACCAGAAAGTGTTTTAAAATCCAGAAGGAAGAGAGGGAGGAAAGGGTGAGGGAGTCATTTGTATTACATAACAGCAACTTGGGGCCTCCCCTTCTGGACATCCATTTTATTGGGTGTTCATGAGGATTTGTGTTCATCATGCTAACAGGACCATCACACCAGATCCCACACTCAATACTGTTTGTGCCTGAAGGTGTTTTGGAACAGTCACACTGCTTCATTTCCAAACAGTGCACAGCCCTGAAATGTCTTATACCGCAATCATTCTGGTTTATTTTTTTGCCCTGCTTTTGCTGCGCTATAGCCCCTCTGGAGAGCAATAATGTGGCATCATTGGGGCAGGATGGCAGAGCAAAATTAAGTAGAACAAACCTGCCACTGATGCACTACTATTATGTCAAAACATGTTGCAGAAGACACCCACAATAACACCTTTGTCTGGAGGGGCCCATACCCTCTCCTGGTTTCAAACTGGGGACACTGCCTTTGTGCAGTGCAGAGAGAAAGAAGGGGAAGTATGCTTTTTAGTGCTTTCTTGTATGGATCCAGGGCCTCTCCTCTGTCTCATCATGACTCTCCCTTTCCCTGCAATGTTTAAACATCCACTCCTTCCTCTGCAGTACACACCCCACATTGCTCAAGCCTAAAGGAAGCTGCTCCAAGTTGCAGCTGGATCAAGTGTGTTCCCTCAGCCCTTGAACTGAAGGGCTCTGCCAAGGGGGTGCTCTAGTGAAGAGGGCTTGCTCAGCACCAAGCACACTCAGGTGGTGACCTCTACAAGGCTGAGGAAGTGCCAAGTGGGCTGAGGCTTCAGAGTGGCTCATAGCAGAGTGGCTCACAGCAGCACCCTCTCCTGCCTGGAAGGGTTGCAAGGAAATCTTGCAAAGGAGGCAGCGTGTACGGAGCAGGAGTGGCCCTCGTAACTCTCCCCAGGCCACACCCCTCACTCGGTCAACTTCAGGTCCTGGGTGTTTTTTGCCTGGCTGGAATGTGCCCTTGAGCTCTGATAATGCCTCTTGCTTCCCTGGATGGAGGAAAGAGAGAGATGTTGGTGCCAAAACTGGTCTACTGGACAAAATGTGTGTTGCTCTGCCTGCCTTTGCTTCTGTCTAATGGAATGCGGCCCTCAGAAGGTTGTCTAGAAGATAATGTGGCCCTTGGGCTGAAAAAGATTCCCTACCCATATTTTAAGGCACCAGGAGAATTACAGGGAGTTCCCACCCTGGGAAGTTTTCTCAAAGTGCGGTGGGAGTGTGAGAACCACACTGATCTCCTCACTGACATGAGGTCCGCAATGCTTGTTGTGCCTCTCATTTCAAGGAGTTATGTGTCTCCATTGTAAGGCTTCCCACCCCCTTCGTATTCAGGGCTGAGAGGCAGACTTACCACCAGCAGGCAGCCAGCAGAGTGAGTCCCAGCACTATTGTCCCCTGGAGGAGCCGCCACTCCTTGCAAGCCACCGCCAGCCCTGGCAAGAGCAGCTCCCCAGCCACCCAGAAGAAACCAGCGCCCATGGTGACTGCCAGGCGGTGCGGAGGGTCACACAACTCCAGCCCTGGGGAGGAAAAGCCAGTGAGAAACACAAGAAATGAAGACGGGGGGCAGAATGTAGAGGAGAGGTACACATGCCAGGCAGAGTTTGCTGGTAGCCTGGGAGACAAACAGGTCTCTGCTTTGGCAAAGATCCAGAATTCCCAACCCATTATATGAAAGCAGAGGCAACTGCAGAGGACCTAATAAGGATGTGGGGTAGCAAAGAGGGCAACTCACTTGCAACATAGAGGGAGAGGAAGGTGCCAGCCAGCAGTGCCCCAAAGAGCAGCCGGGTAAGTACAAGCATAACATAATTCACAGCCAGCGCCACGGCAATGCCCAGAGGGATGGACAGCATCAAGGAGGAGATGAAAGTGGCCCGGCGGCCAAACCTAGAAAATCAAAGGAGAGCAGTGAGTAAGGATACAAAGTTGGGGGGGTTCTACAGGAGAGCCAAAGGCCCATCTAGTCCAGCATCCTGCTCTCAGCCAGATGCCCCAGTACAAAGTCTACAGCTCTCACTGGCTGCATCTCTGCTCAAACACTCCAGCCCCCTGGGTAGAAGTGGCCAGTTCAGTTACCAGTCCACGGGTGTGCAAGCAAGGGAGTCTGGCTTTTTTAACTTGGACTTTTGAAAAGTCCTTTGCAATAGCAATGTTATGGAACAGTGGAACTCACTCCCACAGGACACAAATCCATGGGCAATAAAGCTACCAGCGGCTACTAGCCACAACGGCTGTGCTCTTCCTTCATGGCCAGAGAAAATAATGCTTTTCAATGCCAGTTGCTGGAAGTTGCAGGAGGGGAGAGTGCTCTTGTTCTCAGGTCCTGTTTGAGGGTTTCTCACAAGCATCTGGGGGGCCACAGTGAAACCAGGATGCTGAACATGATGTATGCTGGACTGGACTCTAACCACTACACCACACTGGCTCTAATACCAAGTTGAACTGTTTTGTTGCTCTTGACTATTAGCACTGACTCTGAGCGACAACACTCTCTCCAGGGTCTCAGCAAGAGAAGGATCTTCCCTGCCACTTGCCATTTTATCATTAAAACAAAAACAACTGGAATTGAACCTGGGCTCTACTCCATGCAAAACCAGTGCTCTACCACTGAGCACTACATTCACTTCCCTTGGGGATAAGAACATCCTGGTTCAACAAGACTGCAGAACCACAATACCATACAGTAGCTGTACACTAAGAGTGTACTGGGTTCGCTGGGACGCTAATTAAGAACATGGTAACAAGCTTCCAGTCCTCACTGAGGATTCACAGCATGCAGGCAAGGCTTGCTACAAGCTCAAGGGAAGGCAAAGCAGCATTGTGATGGGGAAATATTTTACCTGTCACAGGCCGATCCAAAAGCCATGTAACCAATCAACCACCCCAGGAGGTGGGTGGTTTGCTCCAGGGGCACCTGCCAGTGGTTGGCACAGACCAAGTCCCACTAGAAGAAAAAGGGAGGAAACTTTTCAGAACCAGGAGGCTGGTGGTGCTGCCTGCCTTTAGGTCTTCTCATAGATACAGAGACACCAGAGGGACTACTTCCAGCTTTTGAGGCCCCCAGCCATAATAAAATTTAAATAATGGCGCACAAAAGCAAAATGATCTAAAAATCAGTTAACAACAAAAATCATCAAGCTGGTCTCTGACCATAATAAATTTCATGTTCAACAAAAATCATGCATTTTACCAAATGGCACCTCTTATTTGTTTAAATGCCTCCCTCACCCCCGCATAAAAACAAGCTGCAAAAATTATCAAATGCAGAAAAAGTAACAAGTTAATTTTAAACCTAAAAATCAAAATTAACCCTAAATTTGAGGCCTACTTTAATCTGGAGGCCCAGGCCAAGCTCCTCCCCGCTCTTTACAAAATGTGCAACAGCGAGAGGTTTTGCCTAGGTCAGAACCCACGGCGTCATTTGGGCAGGTGGACCTGGGTCTCCCTCTTCCGTCCCCTTCCCAGGGCCACTCTGCACATCCTCAGAGGCACCCTTCTGACTCACGGACCTGCGTCACGACGGTGGAGAGGAGGCCGGCCTCAGGCAGGACGTACTCCCAGCCGCGGGTGCAAGGGCCGGTCCCGTTGGGCTCGAGGCCGCCCCCGGGCGGCGGGTAGCGGTAGAGCAGGCAGTGGCTGCCGGGCGGGGTGGAGGCGTTGAGCAGCTCGGGCCCGCTGGCGTTGCGCAGCTCGGGCGGCAGCAGCGCCGGGTCCGGGCGGCAGCGGTGCTGCGGGGTGGCGGCCAGCAGGAGCCCCGCGGCCAAGCCGAGCGCCAGCGGCACGTTGGGCAGCCACGAGGCGGCAGCCAGGAGCCGGGCGCGCCGCCCGAAGCCGCCCACCTGCCGCAGCAGCTGCCCGTCGAAGTCCATGCGCCGCGGGCAGGACGGTCACCTGGAGCAAAAGAGCAGCGCCGCCTGGCTAGCTGGCTGGCTAGTTAGGCGGCCGCGGTGGGGCGGGTGCTTAAGAAGGCCGGCCGGAGGGAGCCGCCCCCTGGGAGCACGGAAGGAGGAAAGGACTGGGGAGCGCACGGCGAAGCAGCGACCCTCGACGGTCCTCGCCCCGGTGCCGCCGCTCGCTTCCTCCCTCTCGACCTGACTGCGCCAAGAGAGCCGTCGAGGGAAAGCAGCCGGGATAAGGAGGGCTGCTTGTGGCTCCCGCTTTTTAGACGGCCCGCTCGCCGACGCAGACACAAGCCTTTCCTCCTCCTCAGCGCCGCCTACTGGTTCTCGTCCGCCCCGTCGCGTAAGGACACCAAGCAGGCGTACCGGTTGGATTCTTCAAAGGATTCCGGACACGTTTCCCTAAGATTTGCCTGTTGATTTACCTGAGAAAATAAGGTGGTGGGTTGGCAACATATATTCGCGTGATAGTAATAAAATTTAAAAGCGGTTTACAAAAAGGATAAAACAATAAAGTTATCAGTAAAAAAAAATCCCAGTTAAAATTACTCTCTATATTATTCAAAAATAATTAAAATAAACGATAAACTAAAAACAAAAACAAAACAGAAGATTAAAGCACATTACAACATTCTGCATGCCTGGGTAGATTTGCCTAAACAAAAATAGTTTAGCAGGTGCCCAAAAGAGTCATTGAAGGCACCTGCCTGATTGTGATAGGCAGGGAGTTCCAAAGTGTGAGTGCTGTAGGCAAAATAAAAGCCTTTTCTCCCTTCAAAAGCAGGAGGGAGATTGAGGATCATTGCAGAAGTCCCACCCCCTTAGATCAAGAGCCTGGCTGGAGCAGACTTTTTGGGGCGAGCCATCCAGCCCAGTACTGTGTCCTGGACCCTAGAAGGAGAAGCCAGGCAGATTCCTCTGCAAAGCTCACCCACCAGCCTTGCAAATTAGTGTGTGTGTGTGTGTGTGTGTGTGTGTGTGTGTGTGTGTGTGTGTGTGTCCAGCATTCTTCCTTTGGACATTGTGGAGGATAGAGTGGGCTGCATCTGATAAAACAGGCTGCAGTCCACTAAGCCAAAACAGGTAGCCTTTAAGGCAATTCCACAAGACTCTTTGTTGTCATTGATCCTGCGAGAGTAATGATAATACACTTTTTAAACCACCCTTCAACCAAGTTTCCTTGGGCACCACCAGCTTCTGACTCATATAGGGACCAAAGCTGCCTCTTGGCTGTGCTTCTGCCCTGAAGCTGGATTAGACCAAAGTCCCATCTAGCCCACCCCACCACCCCTGTTCTTCAGATGCCAACCAGATGCCCACAGGAAGCCTGCAAGCAGGGTGTGAGCACAAGGGATCTCCCTCCCTCCTGTGGTTTTTAGCCACTAGCTTTCAGAAGCATCACTGTCTCCTACAGTGGATGTAGAAGACAGCCTTGTCCTCCATGAATTTACCCAAGCCTTTTACAGCTATATTATCCCTACAAACTGTAGGAGCCAGTTTGGCAGTTTAACTTCACTTTGTTAAAAAGTGCTTCCTTTTGTCTGCCCTGTATTTTCCTGCATTCAGCTCCCATGAGCACAGCCAAGGGGGAGCAGGGAGGAGCAGCTGGCCCCCCATCAATAAAAATAAATAAAAACATAGCTAACTAAGGTTCTGCTGCCCCCCAACGAGACCTGCACTCCCTAACAAAAGGCTTGCCCCCCCAAAAAAAATCCTGGCTACCCCCATGTCATCTTTATTGGATGGCCTCTCCCACTACATTAAGGAAGACTCTGCAGGACCCAGGATGATGGTAGGAGGTCATACATAGGCCCTTTACCTGGACTGACGAGTGCACCATTTAGCTTGGTGTGCCCTTGTAATAAGAAACTAGAACAGACAGGTGCTGCAATTTGACCCAATCTTCTTTCGCAAAGAGCCCCCTCCAAACCCAGGATCTGCACCCAAATGTAAACTCCAACCTGCTTACAGCTACTTCCTTTTGTTTTTAGGAATATAGGAAGTTGTCTTATTACACCAAGTCAGGCCATCTAGCTCAGCACTGCTAACACATAGTGGCTCTCTTGTTTGTGTTCAGACAAGGCACATCCACAGTCTTATCTGGAGACATCATGGATTGAACCTGGGACCTGCTCTGTGCAAAGCGGATGCTCAACCACTGAGCTACAACCCCTCCCTATTTCTAGTCTTTAAAAATCCCCATGCTTCCCCCCCCCAAAAAAATTAAATAGTGTTTTACATATTACTCCATACCAGAACGAACTGCTGGTGGTAGAGCTTTGCAGTTGCCTTTTAGGGAAGTGAGGAGCGTCCTCCCCATCTGTTATTGCATAAAAACAGACACAGAGTTTGAAATCACTCCCCAGCCGCCTAACGTCCTAGAAACACCTTGCCTGAGAGTCACATGATCCCAGGGACTGGTCAGCTTTCCCTCCCTGGCTTCCTGCCTCTTAGACTCACCTTGCCCAAGGTAGGGGGGGGGGAATGTCTCCATGTTGCAATGCAGATCTAAATGTTGTTCCTAAGTGGTGTTGGGGGGGCAGGGGCAGGGAGTGCACAGTCAAGAAGAGGCCTTGCTTTTAACTTTGCCCAGTGAGAAGGCTCAGAGACAGCAGCTGAGGTTGCACAGTTGGGACAGAGTGGCTGCTGATAAAAAGGTCTTTTGTTCTAAGGGCCCCTCCCTGTCTGTAAATGGAGCTCTTATCAATTTACTCATCTGGGCAGGGAGAGAGAATCTGGGGAAGAGGGAGGAAAGATTATTAGCACTCTAGCAGCTGAGACAGAGAAGGAGCAAGCACATTCCGGTCAAGCAGCTTTCTTTCGGCTACTACCTCTGAGTGATTGTATCCTATATCAGGTTTCAGCTTGCCAAGTGTGTTTGACAAGTGCTGCTGTGCTTGCTCCAAACAACCTCCACCCCTGCGAGAAGCTTGTCACTGCACCTCAACAGACTGGGGGACTGTGGGGCCGTCAGACTAGTCATGGTGAATCTTAACACAAGTATTGCAGGGCAAAGGCTGGTTCTGCCTACTGGGACACGTTGGCTGTATGCATACCATTCATTTAATGCTCATTCCCCCCTTACACACACACACACACACACACACACACACACACAAAAAACAATCCCAGGAACAGCTACAATTCCCAGCATCCTTAACAAACTACAGTTCCCAGGATTCTTTTTTTTTTTTTGTGGGAGCAGGGACAGAGAATGTGCTTTAAATGTGTTCTGTGTTTTTTCAGCCTACGTCCCTCCAGCAAAACAACTACATTAGTTCATGTCAGCATTGTCTTTAAATATTCCGTCCCCCAGGTGATAGAAATTGCTAAACATCAGAATCTCACCCAATGCTAAGACGTGTCCTGAAAAATGCTCTTTAAATCTCTGGACTGTTCAGCAATTTAACCCACTTCAAATTCTTATTTGCAGAGGTGAATCAGGATGCTATCTCATCACTCCAAAGTGCTCTGAGAGGACACAACACAGCCAGCTTTTGTCTCACCAACTGATTATTCCAGCAAAACAAATCTTTAGAACATGACAAGCTGAGCTGTAGCAACAGATCCTGTGAAACTTTGTCCATGTGGATCAAATCCCAGGGTTAACTGCAGGAAAAAGCCTGTCATCATCAAAATAATTGTTGGCAGGGGTCGCCCTCAACTATGACTGTTCTGAGAACTCCTTTTAAAAATTATTTTTAAGGGAAGGAAACACTGCTCTATATTGAGTCAGCCTCTTGGGTCTATCTAACCCTGTATTGTATACACCTGATCCAGCCCCCAAGCAATTTTTGCTTTCCCTCTCTGCAAGACCTCTCATTTGAGTGGCAGTGGAGAAGCACAGCCCCTTGATGGGGATGCAAACCATCACCTTCCTGGTTGTCAGGTTGATCATTTAACAAGGGAAGAGGGAGCAGCACCTGCTTGTGTGAGGCAGTGGAGTGTCCAACTTCTGCTGCAAGGATTCAGACAGGGGGATGCAAGGAACAGAGCGTCTCTGCCACCCTGAGCTCCTTGGAGGAAAAAAATGGAATATAAATGCAATAAATAAATAAATAATAGACCACCCTGAGCTAGATGGATCAATGATCTGATACCAGGTGAGGCCGTTTCTTGTGTTTCCAGGTCTTGCAAAATTCAGAGTCCCTTGAGCCAGAAACACGCTTTCTTTCCAGTGAAGAAATGGAAACCTTGCAATGAGGAAGTGACAACTCTTTCACAATCTTTGCAGCAGAAGCCAAAGTGAGCAAACCTCATGATGCGTGGCTAAAACAGCCCTCTGAGCATCTTAAGAGGAAGGATCGGCACAAAGGTGTTAAACAAAGTGTCCCATTCCATTCTCACCCTGGTAATTAATATTTCCAGAATAGCAAGACCCTGTCCACACACAGTATGCAGAAAAGACGACATATTTTCTCCAGATCCCCAGCTGATCCCAAGGGGGCTAGAAGTAGCTTTTAATTGTTAAGCCACCTTGGTCACTTTACATGGAAAAGAGTCTAAATGTAATAAAACAGTAGGTTACCTCTGCTGCAGCTGCTGCTAATCTTCTCTGCTCCCTGCCATGACCTCCCTGCAAGCTGTGGCTGTGCTTTGACAAGCAGCTGGGATTTCAGCCCTTTTGATTAGCCTCTGGTGAGCAAGTTTCAGCAAATTGCTGGTGACACCTAGTGGTGCAAGACAAAAGTTCACTGTGCACCTGTTTGTATATATAGCAAACTTCACTAGCCTGTCTTCCACCAGTCCCAGCTAGCCCAAAACATCTGGAAGCCACAAAGCTGATGCTGTCAGGGACTCTGGGAACTCTCACCTTGCACTCTTTATTGCTGTGCATGGCTGTCTCCTATTTATGCCTCCAACTCTGCAAATTGCCAATAAAAGAATGCCAATTTGAGGGGAGTCTTTGGCCCGACCCAGCAGGGTTCTTCTTATGTTCATAGGCATAGCCTGGAGTGAAGCTATAACTCAGCAGCAGAATATGTGGCTTGGACTGAAGAGGTTCCAGCTTCAATCACACCACATCCCGGTTTATTAGTCATTCATTTATTCAATTTATTCCTTCCTCCCAAAGGAGCCCAGGGTGGCAAAAAAAGTGATAAAACAACAAAATCACCATAAGCATGCCCGTGAGTCAAGAAACAATGCTGGAATAGATGGTCCAACTCAGCATAAGACAGGCTTGTAAATGTTCATCTCCCTCTCCCCAGACCTCATCTTTATTTTATTGCATCTACATCCCACCTTCCCTCCAAGCTCCAGGTGGCATATGAGGGTTTCCCTTTCCCCCATTTTATCCTCACAACAACCCTGTGAGGTAGGTTAGGCTGAGCAGCAACAACTGGTCCAAGGTCGCACAGTGAGCTTCGGGGCTGTTTGGGAATTTTGTACCCTATTCATGCCTCTTTCCCAAGATATGCTCACTGGGGTTGGAATTGCATCACTTTGGTGATTCTGTATGGGAGGGACGGGCAACCTGCAGTCAAATGTTGATGCATTTCAGCTGCC